ACTTCTCCATCAAGAAATACAGTAGATCCCCCTATAAAACCGTTTCCTATAGTTATGATTCCTATAAAAATTGTGGCAGTATCCGTAAACAACGGTAAAAATAACTCCTATAATACGTAAAACGTCATTGGGCAGCCGAACTACTTTCCCGCCGTCCGTAGCGTGGCGCTACGGACGTTTAGGCGGATAAATTGAGTTTAGTATCGTCTGTTCATATAATTATATATAAATTAGGTACTGTATATATAATTATATATTAACTTAATTTATTGTAACTTTATTATAATTAAATATATATTTTTCGCCGTCTAGCGTCACGCTACGGCGAGTTAGGCGACCTATCTTCTGTCCAGTACTGTAATTTTATACATTTCTTGTGAAAGAAACATTTCTTATTTAACGGTCATAAAAATTATTTATATTAAGGATGTCTCCAAAGGTCAACGAAGTTTTCGCAGAAAAATAATATCAGAAATCGCGGCCGCGGTTTGATGCGCTGTTCCGCGACGAAACCAAGCTTTAGCAACGGGCGTAGTCGAACAGTACACACTCGGTAAGCAATCCTACAATTTTTTGTTTATAACGTAGTTTAACGGATTATTTTCAAAAAAATATACGTATTTTGGAAATCTTGAGTCGAATTAGTCTAGAATCGATTAATTTTATGAAAGAAAACTTTTCAAACAGCCGTAGTCCGTAAACTATGATTCCTACAAAATTGATTCATAAAGAACGGAACGTATCTACCGTCTTATAGGGGGATCTACTGTATGTTATTCTGTTTCATTTTTTATGGCAGCTGCACAGTTTTATGTGTTTTCAGGAAAATCATTATCATTATTACAGTTATGAAGTGATATGACTTCTGAAATATTCTTTTCTCTTTTATTAATACATAAATTATGCAGTCATAACCACTTTGGACATGGCTGTGACATTTTCCATGTCTAAATATTTATGTCTGTGGAAACGTCCTTTCAAAAAGTCCTATAATTTGTTCCACAACTACTCTGACAGAACCGTGTTTTTTATTATAAGTTTGTTGTTTTATTGTGAGACTACCATAATCCTTAAATGGTACCAATAAAAAAGTATCTAAAGGATATGCAGAATCACTTAATAAATATTTTGTTGGCTCCTGCAGTAATAAATTGTATATTGGACTTTGTTTCCACACCCGAGAGTCATTGGAACTACCAGACCATCCAACAAAAGCATCAATTATGTTCATTTCTGCATCACAAATTATTTGTAATAAAATAGAATATCTTCCTTTTCTGTTAAAATAACTTTGCCTATCCTTTATAGGTGCCTTTATAAATATGTGTTCCGTCGACACATTCAATTACACCTGGCAACAGAATCTTCTGTAATTGTTCAACCTTATGTATGGTGTTGTCCAAGTTATCTGATGGCCACTTAATAAAATTACTGTATTTACTCGCACATAAGACAAGGTTTTTATTCATTTTTCACTGCTTCAAAAACCTAGGTCATCCTGTATGCACGAGTGAAGGATTCTTTACGTTTTTGCAATAATTTTTGTGAATTGTGTATAGTTTATGCTTCCATTATAGCAGGGTGCTATTGAGGTTAAGGTGAATATTGCTTTCAAATAAGGTGACTGTCTGAATATGGCTGATCATTTAGCAATCATTATTAATGCAGTTATTTCTTATTTGTTAAATTAGTATTTTTAATGAATATTTGCAAATTCTGAATCACAAAAAATAAACTCTTTCCAGTCGTGCATTTATAATCTTTTGGTTTTGCTATGTGAGTATCAAGTGTGTGGAAAAGCATTCTTCAAGAGCTGGTAGCAAAGTCATTCAGTAAATACTGCATTTCAAATTCACTCGACGGATCAGAGGACGATGTTTTGAGTAGTGAGAGTGAAAAAGAGAAGAGTTTTAATGAAGCTTTGGAGGACAAGTCTGAGTAGACAAAAGGTTATAGCATCAAGAAAACATGGTTGTTTGCCTTAATACATACATTTGATAATATTCTATTTGTGATTAAATGAAATAAAATTAGAATTGTATTAATAAATCTAATTTCTTTATTTTGATCTTTAAAGTCACACTTCGTTTTATATGCGAGATTGTCTTATATGCGAGTAAATACGGTACTTAACATGGAACACATTTTGTTGCAGAAACTCATAAAGCTCCTATAAGCATAGTCTTTGTTTAAGCCAAATCTAACAGAAATGCCTCTGAAAGACTCTTGATTGGCAAGTGTCCATATACTTAACAAAACTTCTTTTAATTGTTATAGGATAATATGATTTATAGTTTGGTTTTTTATCCACATTGCAGCTTTTTTTATATGGTTTTGTTATAGAAATACAAGGTCGACCCATTGTTATTTCACTCCTTGTTGTATTTATCGATTTTATAATTTCCTATAAAAATAAACGTGTAGATGATAAGTTTTATTTAATGAACAAGGAAAAATAACAGGCAGAAACGTATACTGTGTTTACTCACATGTAGACAACCTTGCATATAGGATGAGGTGTGACTTTAAAGATCAAATAAAGAAAATTAGATTTATTAATACAGTTCTAATTTTATTTCATTTAATCACAAGTAAAATATCAAATTAACATAAATGCACACATTTTCCCACAAAAATTACTGGCATTTTAAACTTTAAGGAAAAATCTTGTAAAATTGACAACATAATTTGTTCATGTAAAGCTGGACAATCGGGAACCATTTTTGCCAGTTTTTAACAGTCGAATTCACTCTCTGTCAATTACCCTTATGAGTTTCTCCAAATTTTGATTTCCAAATAATCATCTGTTTTCATGTGGGAATGGATTAAAACTTATATCGTGCCCTCATGTGATTTTGGAATTTCAATCTGGAATTCAATTCAAAAGCTTTGCTTTTCCTATTACTATTCATCTTTACTCCTGACAATATACAGGTACGATTCAAACGACCCAGATAAAATACTTATGTTTTTAAATACAAGAGGGTAAGCATCCAGTAAAAAATGTGAATACACAGTTCACAAAAATTATTTACAAAATTTCAAAGAATCTTTCGCTTGCATGTAAAGGATGACCTATGAATTTGAAGCTGTGATAAAGGAATAAAAATCTTGTCTTATATGCAAGTAAATACAGTAATTAATATTATACTGCATACAGTAGACTAACTTAATTTACAAATGTTAACTAAACAAAGTGCAGTATCATTCTACTATGCTGAAAAGAAAAAAATATGTTATTAACTAATTTCCGAAACTTAAATGTAATTATAATTGGATTAACTTAACGAATATCAAAATTTGATTCATTCAAAAAACATAATTTTCACAAAATCTTACAGAATGACACATGTAAAATTAAATTGACTATTTTATAAATACAGTAGAGTTTCGAAAACTCGGCACTCAATAACCCGGCAGTCTGGATAACTTGGCTACACCCTGGCAGGGCAAAAAAATCCTTAGTTAATTAATTTTCATTATAGACAGCTTTATGCCTCATAAAGTATTTTTCTGAGGTCTGTCTTATCAGGTAAATTACTGTACACAGTGTATTCATTAATTTTCATTTTCACGTAGTAAAGGCTCTATGCCTTCATAAAGTATGTACTTTTCCTTTGTTTAAGGGTATTTGGGCAGTTTATTCTCTGTTGTATTCTCAAGCAAACAATACATACAAGTACAGTACAGTATTTTCTGAGGAAACACTCATACTTATTTTCTTTAACCCCATTCCCGATAAATTGGCATTTTCACAAACTCGGCCACTCTTCGGTCCACATTAGGCTGAGTTTTCGAGACTCTACTGTAATAGCATTTGGTTTCCTATTAGAAAACATTATGTAAAACTTACTTCTGTAGAATTTCTTTAAAGTCTAAAATGACTCTTAAAGCCATCCAAAGAATAAGAAAATACTGTATCTTCTACATAATTATCTATCTTCTGTCTCTTTGTTCTATTTATTATTATTTTTCTTTTTTTGGAAAGAGTAATGCTCAGTTCTCCATACCTTTTTTTTGTTATGTTGTAGTTCTTTAGCTAAAACACTACTTTTGGCTGTAACAGAAATTAGAGAATATATTACAGCATTCATGTTTTGCTCGAGTGGAGAGCGTTTCTGAACTATGATGCAGCGATTTGTAGCGATAGCTGCTCGTGACATCATTCCTGCTACACACTCACTGCATAAACACGGCCCATGAGTCAGCCCAGCTGGAAGAGTCTATGTGAGATGAAAGGGATGGAGGACACGTAAGAGTTTACACGTGGATTGGTATCTGCGTGTCATCTTTCTTGTTTTATTCTAACGTTATGTTGTTGTTGTTTACTGATTCCTTTATTTAACACTGTTTTTAGACTGTTGAGGAAGGTTGGAATGGATTATAACATAGGTTTATCAATTTTTTTTAAGAATTTTAAACATATCTCAAGAACTTTTAAGCTTCCAGTGTTCAGGGAACAGAACTGCTTGGCCACCAGTGGCCAGCAGTTCTGTTCCCTGAACACTGGAAGTTTGGTCATGTGTTCTCACCTCGCCAGGACGTGCTGGTGATGTGGAGTTTTCCAGGTTTTCTCCACATCTGTAACACCCAAATAGGGGTCAGTTACCTTTAAAAAGACCTCTCAGAAGGCATTTTCCCTAGGCAGATTGCCCAAGTGTTGCATTGCCATAACTTAACCAAACAATCTAAGCTTTATTTTATTTTATTTTTTTGGAAAGTTTGGTTTGCAAAACTTGGTGTTCTGTCATATATACCATGAATTGTCAAAACATAACGTAATGTTATTTGATGACTTTCGGTTTGCCCTGGTGGAACTGCGACATCTAATGAAAGTGGACTACAAACTAGCCTTAAGTGGCAGAGCTCCTGCTATAGAGCAGAAATCAAATTTACTTCGTAGAAAAGCATTTTATATTTGCTTTTGCATAAGAATTAAATTTGTTATAAATATGCATTTTAAGTAGAGAATTTTCATAGATAAATTATTTTTAATGTAGATAAAAACAATAAAGACAAATTAACATTAGAAAGGATGGAGAATGAAGGAACACATGTCGTCGTCAAGACCGAACCAGAATGGGATTATGTCAAGGAAGAGCTCAATTTGGAATTTGAAATTGATAACAGAAATATTAATGTTAAATGTGAACAGTATAATGATGTTACAATTGAAGAAGATAAAAAAGTAAATTTNTGGAGAATGAAGGAACACATGTCGTCGTCAAGACCGAACCAGAATGGGATTATGTCAAGGAAGAGCTCAATTTGGAATTTGAAATTGATAACAGAAATATTAATGTTAAATGTGAACAGTATAATGATGTTACAATTGAAGAAGATAAAAAAGTAAATTTTATTCTAAAAGTCCCTAAATTTGTCTAGTCCTCATATTTTATATTCCATACCTAATATCTGTTTGTACAGTTTTTTATTTGCAATCTTAATGTATTTTTTCTTCTTGCAGATTCATATCAAAACCGAACCCCAGTCGCCCACTTTGGAAGTTACCTTTGAATCCGATCTGTCATTACCTGTGAGCAAATTTCTTCAAAGATCACTTTTTATTCAGTATTTTTTTATTAATTAATTATAATAATAAAATTGTAATTATTATTACCTGAAATTATATATATTTTTCTCACATATATATACTGGTATTAAATATTAATTGTGTTTATTGTAGCTGGGTCATTCTGGAAAGTTACAAATAACAAAATTAAGTGTGATGCCTACATTTTTATTTTTGTTGTTCAGAATTGCCTGAATTATATCTGTATAATAACACTTTAATACACTTGTGTATTAAAGTGTTATTATACAGATATAAAGTGTTATTATACATATATAAAGTAATAGTCTTTAGGCATCTCTTAGGTAATGTTGACATCAATAATATAGTGCACATTTCCACTGCAGCAATATCATATATGAGGTGCATAATAAAGTCTTTATACACTGGATGTGTGAGAAATGCATAGCCAATGCCAGTACCAGGTTATTTTGCAGCCCAGGCAAAATAACCTGGTATAAGTGCGCCCCTTATTTCACAAGTTGGATATTTTTTAGAATGAAATTTTAAATATAAAAAATAAAAGTTATTTTGACACATTTTATTAATATACAAAGTAATATAGAATACGTATAATATATGAAAATCAAATTAAAATTTTTTCTTTCTTCAATTTTACAAAATTTTCTATTAGTTTTTTTTTAAAATCAAGTGTAGAAGCTCGCTCATGTTTGATTGAAATTGTTGGCAAATCTGTTAACCTGTTTTGGGACATTTTTGAGCACAAGTATGTTTTAACAGGTTTTACTCACATGTTGTTGTTAATTAATTTATCGTTAATTTGTTTTGGACACTAAAATTAACTTGAAAAATTAATAAATGTTTTAAAAATTATTTTTAATAAGTGATTATGGAAAATAAAATGAATGCCACTGATTGCTTGATACTTGGAACAACTTACGGAGATATTGAAACACATTACACGCTTGTCTTTCGCAAATATTCTTAAAGCCATCCAAAGAATAAGAAAATACTGTATCTTCTACATAATTATCTATCTTCTGTCTCTTTGTTCTATTTATTATTATTTTTCTTTTTTTGGAAAGAGTAATGCTCAGTTCTCCATACCTTTTTTTTGTTATGTTGTAGTTCTTTAGCTAAAACACTACTTTTGGCTGTAACAGAAATTAGAGAATATATTACAGCATTCATGTTTTGCTCGAGTGGAGAGCGTTTCTGAACTATGATGCAGCGATTTGTAGCGATAGCTGCTCGTGACATCATTCCTGCTACACNGCTTTCCCGTAAGCCTAAAAGTTTGACAATGGTGTTTGGATAGTCTGTGGAATCACGCTCGACATTCCAAACACCATCGTCAAACTTCTAGGCTTACGGGAAAGCGGCACCGAACGTCCGTCCTACATGTTTAAAACGTCAGCCTCAACCTCTATAATGTTTAAATTATTTATCTTAACTGAATTTTAAGTAGCAGTAAGTTCAAATCATTCAGGTAAGGAACAAAAAAGATTCAAGAGTTAAATAGAAAAATGTGTGGTGTATGAGGGATAAGGATAAAGAATTGATATCTAAATCATATATAACCATTTAATTTTGATATTTTAGTGAAGTATGAATAAAGCATAACTTGAAGTTTTTCGTCCTATGTAGTTGCCTAGTTTGCCTAAATGGTAGTGCTGGCCCTGCGCACAACATATGACACATAGTAATGAATGCAGCACAAAGACAAAGGAAAATGAGAAATACACACATTATAAAAGAACACGTGAGAAACCAATGAGAATGTACAAGAAATACATATTTTACCATCTGCAGGGGTCACACTGCATAGTGTCTACATTGTCACTTGGTAATGTTTTTATTAAAGTGGCAATAAACATAATACTGGCAATAGCAAGTGGTTATAAAAGCCCTAGTCTGCTTGTCTTGACATTTGGGATGAAATTGAATCAGAAATCACACTTTGGAAAAAACAACAGAATGTCTGGCTTCTGTGCATCACACACCTTACTCATGGATTACTTCACTTTCATCTGTAAAATATAGTTGGGTTTTGGGATTATAAGATTGGGCAACAAATAGATAGAGATATTTGTAGGGCTCTAGGCTAATATATTTAGATAGTTTACTACTTTTTTGGCCACGCTAATAATTTATTCTAAAAGTCCCTAAATTTGTCTAGTCCTTATATTTTATATTCCATATCTAATATCTGTTTGTACAGTTTTTTATTTGCAAGCTTAATGTATTTTTTGTTTTTGCAGATTCATATCAAAACCGAACCCCAGTCATTCGCTTCGGAAGTGAAGTTTGAATCCGATCTGTCATTACCTGTGAGCAAATTTCTTCAAAGATCACTTTTTATTCAGTATTTTTTATTAATTAATTATAACAATAAAATTGTAATTATTATTACCTAAAATTATATATATTTTTCTCAAATATATATATTAAACATTAATTGTGTTTATTGTAGCTGGGTCATTCCGAAAAGTTACAGATAACAAAATTAAGTGTGATGCCTATATTTTTATTTTTGTTGTTCAGAATTGCCTGAATTATATCTGTATAATAGTACTTTAATACACTTGTGACAGTCTTTAGGCATCTCTTAGGTAATGTTGACATCAATAATATAGTGCACATTGCCACTGCAGCAATATCATATATGGGTGCATAATAAAGTCTATACACTGGATGTGTGAGAAATGCATAGCCAATGCCGGTACTGGGTTATTTTGCACAACAGGCAAAATAATCTGGTATAAGTGCGCCCCTTATTTCACAAGTTGGATGTTTTTTAAAGAAATTTGAACGGCATAAAGAAAATCTATTTCTCTGCTTATTTAATACATATATTCTGATATAAATATATTCGTGAGTCGGTCCTACCACTGGACTACTCATCATATGGCTAGTAATCAGACATGAGGAATTCTAATATTACTTCAAGTATCAAGAGAATAGAAACTGGACAAATAAAACGGATGACGATATAAGGAAAAGAACAAGGAATAGTTGCAATTGGAAGAAAGATAATATTATTAGGTATGCTACTTAGAAAGTTCGAGGCATTAATGGGAAAGAGGATATCTATTCCAGAATGGTAAAATTGACATAGCTGTCACTTCAGAAACAAAGAAGAAAGAAACTAAAAATTATACACTTATTTATAGTGGAGTAAATAAGAAAACTCATGCCCAAGCAGGTATAATGATTTGGGTACATAAATCTCTTAAGGAAAATATCCTTCATTACACATACTGTACAGAGAGAATCATAGAATGCTGCTTAAAAATTTACAGAGGTAATTTAACCATTATTGGTACAGTACATATGCTCCTGAAGAAGACTGAGAAGAAGAAAATGAAGACTTCTATATAAAGTTGCAAGAAATTCATAATANATTGGTAGTGCTGTCACTAATCGGTTGGGCTATCAACTTTCTTTAAATTAATTAATTATTTAACACAGGAAGTATATGGAGTTTCATCTCTCTCTCTCTCTAATCTGTGGCTGGCCTTTGCCGAATAGCTTGTTCGGCAACAGAATTATGCAGCAACTGGGAAAAATATGGGATTCAAAATTTTGTTCATAAACCAAATTGTTTGAAACACAAGGTGTTCAAAACCCAAAGTTTGACAGTACTGCAATACCATTAATCAAATAATAAATCCAAATTCATTATTAGACTACCTTTTAGCAAGAAAAATTTTTATTTATAGTTACATTTAGTTACTTGCGTTATTTTTTTCAATTTGCTTTAGTTGTTTTGAGTTTTCAGGACTGAATTACATTAAAACTCAACTGTTACCTCAACACTTCCCAGCTGGTATTGTACTGTACATCATTTGAATAATCTCATACTAACATTTGCATTATGAATGAAGTTGTATTCCACTAATTTAGGGTTTAAAATGATTAAAATATTAAATAATATTCCACTCTATTTTGTAAGTAGAGACCCAAGCAAAATTATTATTTTTTATCAGCATCTTAATCAGCAATATATGAAAGACTATTGTCAAACTAGCATTTTTTTTTATTGGTCAGTGTATAGCTGTTGAATTGCAAATGAATTAATTGCAAGGTGCTGATTAAGGGTTTTCCATCTGACATTCTTTTCCATGATCAGGTTAATTGTTTGAGACTTTAATTTTGTAAGTTGTACTAATGATCAATTTTATTGTGGTAATTACTAAACTTAGATTTGTGACATTTGAATTTTATACTAATTATTATTATTGTAATACAATATTTTAGTCAAAAAGGTATACTGGCATTTATAGTTTAATAGTTTTTGCTATTAAACTACATCGGTCCTACCATTGGACTACTCATCGTATGGCTAGTAATCAGACACGAGGAATTTTAATATTACTTATATTATAAATCTCAATGGAATAGAAACTGGATGGATAAAATGGATGATGATATAAGGCAAACAACAAGGATTAATCGCAATTGGAAGAAAGATAACATTATTAGGTATGCTACTTGGAATGTTCGAGGCATTAATGAGAAAGAGGAAGAATTAGACGATCTATTCCAGAATGGAAAAATTGACATAGCTATCACTTCAGAAACAAAGAAGAAACTAAAGGGAACAAAAGAAGCTAAAAATTATACACTTATTTATAGTAGAGTGAATAAGAAAACTCATGCCCAAGCAGGTATAATGATTTGGGTACATAAATCTCTTAAGAAAAATATCCTTCATTACACATACTGTACAGAGAGAATCATAGAAATCCACTTAAAAATTAACAGAGATAATTTAACCATTATTGGTACAGTACATATGCTCCTGAAGAAGGCTGAGAAGAAAAAAGCAAAGACTTCTATATAAAGTTGCAAGAAATTCTTAATAAAGTTAACAAGAACAATTGCAACATAATAGCAGGAGATCTGAATGCAAGAGTGGGAAACACTCCAGTAAATAAAAATATTGGAACCTTCGGAGAGAATGTTTGTAACAGAAATGGTATTAGACTCATTGGTTTTGTTGTTTATAATAATCTTAAAATAATGAATACATTTTATAATCATAAAAATATACATAAATATACTTGGCAACAACAGCAGTCCAAGTCAATCATTCATTATTTTATTGCTAATGAAAAAATATCAAAATGATTCCTAGATGTCAGATCATACAGAGGATATGAAATAGGCTCTGATCACTTCTTAACCCAAGCAAAATTTAGCCACCTTGGTGGGATTCTTAGAAAAGAAACCAAATGTTAGACATGAACCTGAACAAAAATTTAAAGTAAAATTATTATATGATGATAGTATCAAATGGTTATATACTAGAAGAATTGAACAACATATGGAGAGAATTCCAGAAGACAGAGATATAGAAAATGAATGGGAAAATATCAAAAAAATAATATTAAAGGCAGCAGCTGATGAGTCTCTGGACTCATCAGCTGCTATCTTTATTAGTAACAGTCAATTCCTGTGGAAGAAGGAAATTGAAAATATGGGACAATGAAATCAAACAACTAATATTACAGAAAAACACAGCATATAAAAAACTTTTAAGTAGTAAAAAAGCTGAAGATGCAATAGAATACAAATGCTGCAGAGCAATTGCAAGAAGAGAAATAAGGAAAAGAAAACAATAATCATGGACAAAATTTATTTCACAACTAGAATCAGATCTATACAAAATAAGACCAAGTGCCTTCAAAATATTAAAATTTATGCATTAAGAAATTAAAAAATCCATTAAGATTAATTGTGGTGTGACAAACGACTAGTTTCTTAATTATTATCAAACTCTTTGGACAGATCCTACATACGCATATACTAACAAGATTTTTGAAAGCAACAATCAAAATAGGACTGAATTATCAAAGTAATAACTGTTTGAAAGTTTAACCAAAACAAAAAATAGAAAAGCAACAGGAGATGATGGCATAAATGGATAGTTATACAAATATGCTGGTGATAAATTCCACAAGAGATTATTAACATTCTTCAATAATATATATGAACAAGTCTGTATACCGTTTGAATGGAAGAAGAGTATTGTACTACCTATTCACAAAAAAGGAGATAAACAAAAATTAGATAACTACAGAGACATTAGCCTGCTAAATACCTGTTATGAAACCTCTGCTAGAATTCTAAATGAACAATTGAAACAAGAAGGTAAAAAATTTCTTTTGGAATATCAAAATGGATTTTGAAAAGGCAGATCTTGTATAGACTCAGCTTTCTCCATTAAATTATTACTAGAGAAATGAAGAGAATTTAATCTGAATACACATTTAGCTTTCATTGATTATACCAAAGCTTTTGATATGATAAAAAAGACCCAAACTTTTTGACATCCTACAAAACAGAAACATACAAAATATTTTACTTCAAAATATAAGTAATATTTATGAAAATAATATCATACAACTTAAGTTCAACCTCTTTGTAGACTGCATTTCGTAACAAGGATACGCTACTCAAAAATCTTTTAGACTGCAGCCAAATTTATTATCAATTTCAAATGTTTTTGGTCATTTTTAATGACCTTTATCAAGAATAAACGATAAATGAGTTTGGAACGTATTTAAAAAACTTATAATGCGCAATCTCGTGCTATTGGGTTACCATTATATGTGGGCATAAAATAAAATACAACAAATAAAAAATGATAAGATCAAATAAATACATAGATGAAAATAAAATAAAATACTAAAACACAACCATAAAAGCAAAACATTAATGCATGTGTAGCCAGATTGCACACTTAATATGCATGCTTTTCTAAATGTTGTCTCTCTATTTACTGTTACTTTGCTACAGTTCTTTCCTGTTGAAACTTTACATTATGCTTGATCTCCATGCTGCCGATATCTTACTTGCTTCTCTAAAGTTGATTGCTTTTCCTTCTTAGCAGGTTTTGTAAATGTGCCAAGCCTCAGCATACTTGAGGTGTTTTTTTTGTCGTGAATTTTTTGTATCAACTTTGCCTTATCCCATTCCGCTATAACTTCTGGAGGGTCTGCTAGAATGTATGTTGCTAGCGCTGTGACTGGCTGCTCATTTCTTATAACATTGGATGTTCAGCACCACTTTCCTGTAAGCCTAGAAGTTTGACAATGCTGTTTGCAATAGAATAAACTTTTTATCATACAGGCGTTAATTACCAATGACTGTCGTCAGACTGACAAGCGCTTTCGATGCTAATTATTTTCGTCTTCTTCAGGTTGTTAAAATGGTTAAATTTCTTTTTTTGATTACAAATAACTGACTGTTTCAAGCAACGTTTTGGAATGGAAGCAACAGTAGAACATAAAATAATTTTCAAACAAAAACACGCGCAGTTGTAATGCGCATGTGTTATGTGCCTCCAAATTGCGGAGCTAGATATGTTGGTTTAGAGAATTATACAAACTGATCCACAAAGGGGGCAAATCAAGTGTGGGATCCACAAAGGGGTCAAATCAAGTGTGGGAGTGTTACAGGGATTTAGTATGTTGGTAAGGAGGGCCTCTCAAATATATATAATATTTCTGTTATTGCACTGTCTTATTATGGCCACCTCATCTTACAACGGGGTATGTTGGTGTTGTAACACCATTCTAGCAAGCTCAGTTTCATTTTTGCCTTCCCTAATAGAATACTGATGTTCCGTAATACGACACGACAACATTCTAGTTGTCTCGCCAATATAATGAGTGCGATCACCTGACATATTTTCTAATGGGATAGAATAAATCCCCGATCTTTCTAGAATGGAACTAGGATCCCTGTCATTGGACAGCAACCTTCTAAGATTTGGCTGTGGGGAAATTGGCAAAAATAGGGTATGCTGCTTAAAAATATGGCAAATATGAAGAGTGACATGACCACAAAATGGTATTGCGGGAAGGGCTATTGTGGATTCTTTTGGGAGATGCAGTGTAGTAGGAGGAAAAAGCGATCTTTTTACTTTGTTTAAGATGTAGATAAATTTAGCACTATTGTAGCCCGCCTCATTTACCACACAGCGAATGTTATTAAGTTCGGTATCGATAGCAGCTTGACTGGAAGATAAAAGAAAGGCCCCCCTAATTAAAGGTGCGATTGCCGCATTGATGTAATGTTGTGTCTGGTATGCTGTAGCGGGGATTAGGGGAGGTACAGCATTCCTGTGCTGTACCTCCCCTGGCTGAATGTCCAACGTACACATTTTCACATTTAAAACTTCAGCCTCAACCTCGCTACTTTCCACCGTCTCTGGGCTTGTATGACCATCACCCATACCTCATATATGGCAGCTGTCTGGGCCCTCTCTGGTTGGATTTTGTATCTGCCATTAGTCACCTTTAAAAATAAAACATGGCATAAGTTAATGCATACAAGTGTATCAAAAGAAATTGTATATAACATTAATCTTATGCTATATGTGCATTTGAAAATAAGCAGTGAGTTACCATTCATTCTGCCTAACAAAATGAAACGTAGCTCAAATCTCTGTGAAACATGGTAGAATCAACAAGCTTATTAAGTCAGGTGGAAGTTAATCGTGTTTTAAAATAAAATTGAAGTAATTGTATACAAAAATTCTTATGTATTCATAATTTATTATATTAATAATAATAATTTTAGTTATATGGAATCCTAAGAAAATTTTAATCATATTAAAATGATTTCAGGACAGTACAAAAATTTCTCCTTCAACTCGAAATGTATATTTTTGTGATAAATAATAATTTATTCTTTTCAAATAACAATATTCTCTGTTCTTTTTAGGAAAATCATGGGATTGTTCCTCACTCAAATTTCTCTAAACCGGCTTGTAGCAAAGAAAGTAACGAAAATATTAAAGGTATGTACCATTTTAGATGTGATGTATGTAGACTATGCATTGCTAATAAGAGGGTACTCAAATCAGTCTTCTTGAATGTACTGCTTTCGATCAGTTATTTCATTCAGAAATTATGTATTTGAATTTATGTATTTAGAACCTTTATTGTTGGCTACAAAACAGGGTTGTCCAAAGGTCAGTTAACGGTTTAAAAGTAATTTTAGATGCAGTTTACTTCCTAACAAAGTTTACAAAACTTTGTTAGGAAGTAAACTTATTGTTAATGAGGCATTCTAATGTATAGTTACATGTTTTCTGATATAAAATTGAGTTGCTGTCCAAACATGCAAAAGCTTTTGCTTCAGGTAACTAGTTTTGAACTACTGAAGACTTGCATGTGTGCACATTGTATTTCCTATACAGTCAAATCTTTGGGTTTTGGTTGCTAACTTTCTGAACAAATTAGTTTGTGAACAGAATTTTGAATGTGTAATTGCTCTGGTTGCCGAATGAGCTACTCGGTAAGAGCTGGCCACAGATTAGAGAGAGACAGATGGTTAACTCTCTATACCTCCTATGTTAAAGATAGCCAATGGCCTAACAAATCAATGACAGGATTATTCATGTAATGTATTCAAAATCACTATAATCTTAATAGGATGATTTTTCTCACAGACCAAGCTACCAAGTTAGATGACACAAGACTTTACTGTAGTAAACTTTTGAAGCATACTTTTACATCAAATGCATTTTGGGCTAATATAACTTTATAGCCCCTCTCCAGTGCTATTAAAAGCAAAGTTATAATAATAAGTCATGACATTGTTGTGATAAGTTATAATATTTTACTACATAATTTTCATATTTACTTACATGCATGAGAACATAGAAACAATTTGAAACTCTGGTACACATTTTCTAGTACAGTCGACCCCCTATAACACGGGTTCATATAGTTCGGATTCCTATATGATGGCAAAAAAATTGTGACCGTATTCGTACAAATATGCTAAAAAAAACTCGTATAATTCGATAACACGTCATCACCGACTTGTGTCACGACAGGATTGGTCAAATCTGGACCAATAGTGGACAAGCATCCAAACTACTTTCCACCGTTCAGCGCCACACTACAGAGAGTTTAGGCGGGTAAGTTGAGTTTACTATCGTCTGTACAGTATATAAATTAGGTACTTAAATTAAACAAAATTAACAAATTAATTAATAAATTAATAAATATATATTAATAATAATATTAAATAAAATTAATAAATTAAACAAGTTTAATACAATACGGTAGACCCCCCCTATAATGCAAGTTCATATAATGCGGATTTGTATATCGTGGCAAAATAATTGCAACCGTATTTGTATAAAGATGCTAACAGAGACTCGTAAAATGCGGTAAAATGTCATTGCCGACTCGTGTCATGACGGGATTGGTCGAATCTGGACCAATAGTGGATGAGCAGCCGAACTACTTACACGCTACAGAGAGTTTAGGCAGTAACTTGAGTTTACTATTGTCTGTACAGTATGTAAATTAGGTACCGTAAGTCTAATACAGTACTGTAATTTTATACATTTTTTGTGAAAAAACATTTCTTATTCAACGGCCATAAAAATTATTTATATTAATGATGTCTCCAAAGTTCAACGAATTTTTCACAAAAAAATAACTTATCAGAAAATGTACCCGTCGTTTGGTGCACTACACCACGACGAAAACAAGTTTAAGCAATGGCATCATCAAACGGTGCACACTCGGTAAGTAATCCTACAATATTTTGTTTATAGCATAGTTTATACGGATTATTCCCAAAAAAATTGTGTGTGTTTTGGAATGTTGAGTCAAATTAGTCTAGAATTGATTAATTTTATGAAAGAAAACCTTACAAACAGCTGTAGTCTGTAAATTGCACACATGCCGGGCTGTGATTGGCTCATGTATTTAAGGATTCCTACAATGCGAAATTTGTATAAAGTGGAACGTATCTACCATGTTATAGGGGGTCGACTGTACTGTGATTTTATAATTTTTACATTATCTAAAATTTTGTCTTTAGTCATCACGACCTCTGCCATGGAGAAGAATTCTAAGAGAAAATGTATATCCCTTGAAGAAAAAATTAAAATTTTGGATCGGTTAAAATTTGGTGAGAAAATAAAAGTCATTGCTAAAGATTTAAAATTAAAGAAGGCAACAATTCGATCAATAAAAAGAAATGAAAACAAAATAAGGGCTAGAATTTCCTCTGGATCTTTAGCAAGTTTGGATAAAACTGCTCGTATAAAGGACACTTTAATGCCTAAAATGGAAAAGTGTTTGATGTTATGGATGGAAGATTGCTTTTCAAAGAATTTTCCTTTGAATAATAATGTGATAATGCAAAAGGCAACAAAGATTTACCAGCATTTAAAAGAGCTTGAATCCGTTTCTTTTAATGAATCACATCAATATGAATTTAAAGCCAGTAAAGGTTGGTTTAGAAGATTTAGGAATCGATTTTCTTTGTGCAATGTCAAAGATGGGGGACAAAGCGCATCAGCCAACATAGAAGCAGCCAAGAGATTCCAAAAGAATTTTCTCAAAATTGTAGAAGATGGAAATTACACTGCAGATCAGGTATATAACGCCGACGAAACCTCGTTATATTGGAAGAAAATGCCCAGACGCACTTACATCTCAAAAAATATAAAGTCTGATTCAGGATTTAAGGTTTCCAAGGATAGGATCACTTTACTTTTATGTTCAAACGCATCTGGAGATAACGTTACAAAGCCCATGTTAATTCACCGTTCATTAAGTCCACGAGCAATGAAAGGAGTTGACAAATCAGCTCTTCCTGTTTTCTGGAGAGCAAATAGAAATGCGTGTGTATCAGGTGTGTTATTTCGCGATTGGTTTTACAATTGCTTTGTGTCGGAAGTGGAAGATTACTCAAAAAGAAAAAATATCAGTTTCAAGGCTTTGTTACTGATTGATAATGCATCAATACCCACAGAAGATATAAATCATCCGGCTGTTAAATTAATATTTTTACCTCCCGATACGACATCAATCCTACGACCACAAGACCAGGGAATAATTAAATTATTTAAATCATTGTATGTACGGCACACATTTGAACATATTTTTAAAAATATTGATTGTAATTCAAGCACTACCACAGTAATGGACTTGTGGAAAGATTTTTCAATTTTAAATAGCATTGAAATTATTTCGTTATCTCTGAAGAAACTAAAATGTTCNAATGCAAAAGGCAACAAAGATTTACCAGCATTTAAAAGAGCTTGAATCCGTTTCTTTTAATGAATCACATCAATATGAATTTAAAGCCAGTAAAGGTTGGTTTAGAAGATTTAGGAATCGATTTTCCTTGTGCAATGTCAAAGATGGGGGACAAAGCGCATCAGCCAACATAGAAGCAACCAAGAGATTCCAAAAGAATTTTCTCAAAATTGTAGAAGACGGAAATTACACTGCAGATCAGGTATATAACGCCAACGAAACCACATTATATTGGAAGAAAATGCCCAGACACACTTACATCTCAAAAAATATAAAATCTAATTCAGGATTTAAGGTTTCCAAGGATAAGATCACTTTACTTTTATGTTCAAACGCATCTGGAGATAACGTTACAAAGCCCATCTTAATTCACCCTTCATTAAATCCACGAGCAATGAAAGGAGTTGACAAATCAGCTCTTCCTGTTTTCTGGAGAGCAAATAGAAATGCATGTGTATCAGGTGTGTTATTTCGCGATTGGTTTTACAATTGCTTTGTGCCGGAAGTGGAAGATTACTCAAAAAGAAAAAATATCAGTTTCAAGGCTTTGTTACTGATTGATAATGCATCAATACCCACAGAAGATATAAATCATCCGGCTGTTAAATTAATATTTTTACCTCCCGACACGACATCAATCCTACGACCACAAGACCAGGGAATAATTAAATTATTTAAATCATTGTATATACGGCACACATTTGAACATATTTTTAAAAATATTGATTGTAATTCAAGCACTACCACAGTAATGGACTTGTGGAAAGATTTTTCAATTTTAAATAGCATTGAAATTATTTCGTTATCTCTGAAGAAACTAAAATGTTCCAATCTGAATGCCTGTTGGGAAAAATTATGGCCTGAAGTTGTTATTAGAGAAGATTGTTTAACTTCCGTAACAACAGAAGTAAATCGTATAATAAATATTGCCCACACTTTAGGTGGAGAGGGATTCGTGGACATGAACGAGGAAGATGTTATTGAATTAATTAATACTAACCAACAGTTAGATGAAGAAGAACTTATGCAACTGGCAGAGTCGCCAAAATCAAGTGAAGAAAACTCATTACAAATTTTCTGTGAGCCAGAGCAACACTTTAATTTAGAAAAGTTAAATGAAGGATTAGAATTGGCAAAAAATCTAGAAGAACATTTTACGAATAATGATCCATCAACAAAGCGCTCTGAGAAATTTAAGAAAACATTGAAAGAATGTTTAGCTCCATATTTTGAAGTAAAAGAATGTTTAGAAAGTAACAATAATAAATTGTTGAAAACATAAGAAGATACCCTTTCAAATTACGAATATAATAGAGAAGAAAGAAGTGAATCTTTAAGCTATGAAATAGCACAACCAACATTTAAAAGAGGATGTCGTTGGATCCTAATTATGGATAGCTCTGACAGTGAATAAATGTAAAATAAAAAGTGTAACTACTGCTTTTATTTAATGCAAAATGAGTAAGAAAACATTTTTAATTTCAATATTTGTTTGTTTTGAAGAGAAATAAAATATATTTTAACTCTTACATATTGAATATTTATTTTGCATCTTTGTTATGTATTTGTATAAGTGTATGTTTATGCATAAGTAAACTGTATGCGAGCCGCTCATTTGCCAAAACGATAAGTTCATAAAAGGAAAGATAGAAAATATGTATTGATAAATTTTTATATATTTGTTGTGAAAAAAACAATTATTATTCAACGGCCATAAAAATTATATTTTTATTAATGATATCTCCAAAGTTCAGCGAATTTTTCGCAGAAAAATAACATATCGGAAAACACATGCCCACTGTTCGATGCGCCGCTCTACGACGAAAACAAGCTTAAGCAATGGCGTTGTTGAACGGTGCACACTCGGCAAGTAATCTTACAATTTTTCTTTATAGCATAGTTTATATGGATTATTCCCAAAAAATTATACAGGTAACCCCCGTCTAACATGGCACTTCTATAGCATGGATTCACTCTAACACGGTTCGAGAATTGGGACACATCCTAGTCTAACACGATGCTTTTATAGCACAGGTTCACTCTAACACGGTTCGGGAATTCAGTAAAACACTCGTTTAACATGAAACGTAATAAAGGAGGGGTGCATTCTTTTATACTTTCGTGTAACTTTGTGTGAGCATTCTAATTGCTTTTGTGGCTACTTTGAATGCTCTTTCAACAAATAATCCATTTAATTGTTAAATTTTACAATTGGGACCCTTATTTTGCTTTTAAAAGCTTATTCATCAAAAGAGATAATTATATTAAAAGCTTATATTTTAAAATTATAGATTCCTCCATTGCGATGCTATCGATAGTGCGGGCGCTGCCATCGTTCTTTCACCGTTGTTCCTAATTGCCTACAAATAGCAGCGCACTCCCGTTGTAGCGGAGATGCAGAGTGACTGCTATTAACGAAAGCACCCAAAAACTGTTACCGGTTGATGATGCTCATGCTGAGATCATCATGTAGGATGAATAATCCACTGGTAAAATTAATCAACCACAAACCTTTACGGTGCGAAATTAAATACAAAAATCCGGTTAAAAAGTTCCCACAAACGTTTTCGAACCCACTTAGGTTCGAAAACGTTTGTGGGAACTTTTTAACCGGATTTTTGTATTTAATTTCGCACCGTAAAGGTTTGTGGTTGATTAATTTTGCGTTAATACGGTGTTGTGGAGAAATTCAGCACTGGTAAAATATTTACTTAAATAATAAATAGGTATTTTACCCATAAAAAATGAATAATAAATCCGATTTAAAGAAAGATTTAACAGCATGTTTTTTAATTTTCGGAACCTAACCCCCCTTTTCACATTAGTTCTTTGTTTCGTATAACACGGATTCACATAACACGGCAATTTTTTGGAATGTAACTCCTGTGTTATACAGGGGTTACCTGTATGTGTTTTGGAAATGTTGAGTCAAATTAGTCTAGAATCAATTAATTTTAAGGAAGAAAACTTTTCAAACAGCCATAGTCCCTAAACTGCACACGTGCAGGCTGTGATTGGCTCATGTATTTAAGTGACTCGTACAACACGGAATTCATATAACATGGAACGTATCTACCGTGTTATAGGAAGGGGTCTACTGTACCAATCACTAACAATTATTCACTTTAAAAACACTTCTCACACAACTGTGGTTGTCATAAATATCTATGTATTAAATAGAATTTATATCAAATTAGATACAATTGGTCCTTTGTTTCTGCATTTGCACATTCAACCACCCATGGTTTGAATATTTAAAAAAAAATTTCAAAAAGTTTCAAAGTGCAAAAATATGAATTTGCTTGCATTTTAAATATTCTGTGTTTTATTCTATGTATTTATCATTCCAGTTATTATACAAAAGCAATCTGTAAGTGTTGAAAGAAAGAAAATGATTTATTGATGTTGATATATGCCATGTAGTTATACCTGTGATGATTCCGACACGTACAGACTTTTCTTTCTTTTTGCTATTCCGTAAAGGTCTAAACAATACAGTATAAAGTGTTTAATGTACAAAACATTAATAACCAATTCACATATAGTATGTTTTAAAATGTAAATGATGTATTATCTAGAGACAATTTAAAAGATACAGGAGTATATGCATAATACTATGATGCAAATATTGTCATTTTATATGAGGGATTGGAGCATCTGGGCAAGTGGGGGGATTCTGGAATCAGTCCTCTGCAAATACAGAGGGCTGACTGTTTTTATATTTTTTCATTTTTCTCCCTCTATGATTTTTGTTTTGAATTTGTTGAAAATAATTTTAAATTAGAATTAAAGATTTGAATTCTTATTTTCCTGATATGGTGTATAAACTCTTTCTATATGGCAGATGACCAAGCGGTAAAGGTAGCAACCAACTACTTTGGGGACTAGGAATAAAATCTGGACAGGTCGATAAACCACAAGAAATTTTCAGGGGACCTGGGGCCATATTCTGGTCACTTACCTTTCGTCTCTTCTTTCAGAGACAAATGATGTCAAAATGAGAGACGAAATTCATCTCTCAGAGACAATCTAGTCTTTGTTGTTCACGTCATGATTCTATTAGGTTGATTATACATGTTTTGGTTATCTGCATGCGCAACACAGTATAGAATTTTAATTAATTAAATTGTAAAATTTTTGAAAATGCAGAGTACAGAATTATAGATCACGTGGTAAGGAAAGCACTTAATTTTGATAAAGATATTTAAAAATGTTACAAAATAAAAAGAAATATCGTAATGTCAAAATATCTTGGATAATATTGTCTCTCAGGTTAATAAAACTATTTGTTAAGTTAGAAAATTGTACATACATACGGAGAAATTAGAACTGTAATATTTTACTAATAAATATTAGTAAGATACTTAACAGATAGATAAGGTTAACAGCATATTCAATGGTTCAGAAATTTATGCAGGATCATTAAAAAAAAAAGATGGAGGTTAGATTTTGAGTAGCCACTTAAAATCATAAGCATTATCTATCTCAAAGTATTCTTTTCTGAGATAGAGAATGTTTTAATATGGTTGTATAAGGTGAGTAGCATCCAGTCGTCCATATTAGATATAACGAAACCGAGGCTACAGACAAAAGACGACTATTCATTCATCTCTCGTACACGAGAGAATCTTCGAGAGAGAAAGTTGTCCAAAATCCTGTTTGGAGGGATGCGATGCTCTCTTGAGATGTAAAAGAATGATTAGCCAATCAGCAACCAGATTGTGACATAGATATTGTCTCTGAGACGAGAGACAATGACCAGAATATGCCACTGATGTCCATCTGGACTCATTGTGTCCTGTTCCTTCCCACCCAGCTGCTCCATTTTGTTCATAACTGAACCTATAATGGGCTTGCCAAAAGGTCATCTTGGTGTTCTTTGGGCAGGACAGAGAGAGTTGAAAAGAATATTTCCATTTACTCATAAAAATATTTTATAATGAAATAATACTTAAAATTTTTTAATCTTGTATTTCTAAACTTTTCAAAAATTACCTAAAAGTTTCTATATCTAAAAGATAAATAGATGCCAATTTACTAAAGATAGTTTTCTCAGAAGTCATTTTCTTGGAAAATTGCTTGTGCGGAATGCTATACATTATCCTTTTTTATACTTAGATTAGAGAGAGATCTATACATAAAACTTGAAATAGATGGCGTTGTATTTTGCATTTTCTTCATGAAAACAAATTTGATTCGTTTCAGCATTCAATATTTGACTTTCAATACTATAACATTTTGACTTGTGTAATTTAAAAGTAAAAAATTTAAATTACTTATTCATAAAATTACTAAACATTATACAGTAGAAATATCTGTTCAGTTTGATTTAATATTACAGTAGAACCTCGATTATCTGACTCAATTGGGGACTGGGTTGGTCGGATAATTGAAAAGTCGGATAACCGAAAAGTATGAAAAAATCTATTATTAGTGTAGTACTGTATATTATTATATCCAATGTAATTAGTATATTATTATATTAGTATATGGCTATTAACCTACTTCGTGTTGAATTTTCCTCCATGTTAAGCCTATCAAATTTTTTTAAAAATAATAATCGTCGCTATTGTATCGTTAAAAATTAGAAAATTAAGCCTCGTTTAAATACTGGCTCCATTTCATGGTTGATCCACTGTTGCCAGCTAAAACATGTAAAAATAATATTAAAATAGCCAAGACATGGCCAAATATTGTAGCGCCACATCACTAGCGGACATTTGAAATTTACCAAATAGGACGGTCGGTTAACCTAGGTGTCGGATAATCGAGGCTCTACTGTAATACATAAAATGTAAACATATCTTTTATTGAATCATACTTTGTTTCATAAAATTATATTCTGGATATCTTTTATGTTCCATGTTTCACTCATTAGTATTTTAATTGTGTCTTTATTTATTAATCTTCAAAGTGATTGTTAAGTCATTTTTAAAGTTAAACTTTTGGTTTCATGTTTGATGAAAACCACATTGTTGGTAATGTCATCTAACAGATGAAAATGCTGTAACAGAAGTTATTTTGATTATATAGAAAGTTGTTTGGGTACAAAAACATTATGTTTAATTGATATAATAAGACAAATGAAAGATTTATTTTTATTACAGAAAAGATCTTTAAAAATGATTCCTCAAATTCGTCCCAGCCATATTTTTATAACAGAAAGATTTATTTTCAAAATAAGCTTTCGCAGCAAGCTGACAAAAGCAAAAAGTATTTACATTTCGTTTACCACATTTATGGGGATTACATGTCATAATTTTCTACAAGAATGTAAAATTCCATGAAAATACGTACTTACCCTAACAACTCCAGATATTTTCTATGTGCAAGTTAATTGTAAATATGTTCAAAAAGATTGTAAAGCACAAAACCATTTAAACATTTTTCTGTTAATGTACAATTTTTTACAATAATGAGTTACATTTTACATTTGTATTTCTGAAATATTGCATCAAAATTTTATTATTTAGTTAAGAACAAAACACGCAACAGGGTATTCATAAAACAAGCTGTCTTACTGAAATGGTGCTTACTGCCACACTGAAGTTGTTACAAGCCTTCCATCACACAAGGTGAATGTGGAGAACAGCAGCCAAATTTTTTTATGCAATGAATTTTACAACTGCCCATCATATAAAAAGGAATCCATGAATACAGAGACCTGATCTGTAATAAAATTCCTAAGTTACAAGAATTATTTGATTAATATAATTGTCAAATGGCATCATTAACATAAATAAAATATCATTTATATGATAATTTTTTTGAATTTTGGATTTTTTTTTAGTAATTAATAATTATAAGGGACCATCCATTAAATACATTTACAGTTTGAGGAGGAGAGTGTCGCAGGAAGTACAAACATTACTGTACACGATGGGGAGAAGGAATTAACACACTGTCTACATGCAACTTTTTTAGTGGTTTAAAGTGACTCAGAACTGTACAAAATTAACGGGTAGCCCGTAGATATTTATTTAATTTCAAATGAATTATATTAGTTTTATATTTACAGAAGATGAAAAAGAAGAAAAAGTGGACAGTAAATGTGATCTTCAGTTAAGTGATGGTCTTAACAGAAAGAACTTTTACAAGAGTGAAAGCTACAAATCAGATCCCTCGACTTTCTCTGTATTAAGAATTCAGAAACATATCATATGTAAAAAGAAATTTTCAAAGGAACCATTTTTAAGAAAGTATTTATTTATCCCTCATATTGGAGAAAGACCATATAAATGTGAATTTTGTGGCAAAGGTTTTAAACTAAAATCAGTTTTTAAAGTGCACGCAGTAGTACATTCTGACCAAAAACCATTCCAATGTGAAATGTGTAAAAAGAATTTTAAATTAAAGTCTAGTTTATTAATTCATGAAAAATACCATTCCAAGCAAAGGCCTTTCGAGTCTGTAATTTCTGGGAAAAGATTTAAGTTAAAAAAAACTTTACGAGTGCACAAAAGATGCCACACCGAAGACACGCCTTACAGGTGCGAAATTTGTAAGAAGGGCTTTAAAGCAGAACAAAGTTTTGTAATGCACATAAAGACTCATACCAAAGAAAAGCCTTTTCAGTGTGAAATCTGTAAAAATTACTTTCATACCCGGCATACATTATTGAGCCACAAGAGGTATTTTTCAAAAGAAAGGTCACGCCAGTGTAGATTCTGTGAGAAGACATTCACTACGAAAACCTGTTTAGAAAATAGGAGAAATCCTAATTCAAAGGAAAGTCTATTCTTTTGCGAATCATGCGAAAAAAGCTTTAGGATAAATGCTATTTCGGTAAATTATCATAACACCAAGAGATTTTTTTCAGTGTAAATTTTGTAATAAAAGTTACACAAAATAAAAAACAAAATAAGGGCTAGAATTTCCTCTGGATCTTTAGTAAGTTTGAATAAAACTGCATGTATAAAGGACACTTTAATGCCTAAAATGGAAAAATGTTTGATGTTATGGATAGAAGATCGCTTTTCAAAGAATTTTCCTTTGAATAGTAATGTGATAATGCAAAAGGCAACAAAGATTTACCAGCATTTAAAAGAGCTTGAATCCGTTTCTTTTAATGAATCACATCAATATGAATTTAAAGCCAGTAAAGGTTGGTTTAGAAGATTTAGGAATCGATTTTCCTTGTGCAATGTCAAAGATGGGGGAGAAAGCGCATCAGCCAACATAGAAGCAACCCAGAGATTCCAAGAGAATTTTCTCAAAATTGTAGAAGACGGAAATTACACTGCAGATCAGGTATATAAGGCCAATGAAACCACATTATATTGGAAGAAATTGCCCAGACACACTTACATCTCGAAAAATATAAAATTTAATTCAGGATTTAAGGTTTCCAAGGATAAGATCACTTTACTTTTATGTTCAAACGCATCTGGAGATAACGTTACAAAGCCCTTCTTAATTCACCCTTCATTAAATCCACGAGCAATGAAAGGAGTTGACAAATTAGCTCTTCCTGTTTTCTGGCGAGCAAATAGAAATGCATGTGTATCAGGTGTGTTATTTCGCGATTGGTTTTACAATTGCTTTGTGCCGGAAGTGGAAGATTACTCAAAAAGAAAAAATATCAGTTTCAAGGCTTTGTTACTGATTGATAATGCATCAATACCCACAGAAGATTTAAATCATCCTGCTGTTAAATTAATATTTTTACCTCTCGACACGACATCAATCCTACGACCACAAGACCAGGGAATAATTAAATTATTTAAATCATTGTATATACGGTACACATTTGAACATATTTTTAAAAATATTGATTGTAATTCAAGCACTACCACAGTAATGGACTTGTGGAAAGATTTTTCAATTTTAAATAGCATTGAAATTATTTCGTTATCTCTGAAGAAACTAAAATGTTCCACTCTGAATGCCTGTTGGGAAAAATTATGGCCTGAAGTTGTTATTAGAGAAGATTGTTTAACTTCCGTAACAACAGAAGTAAATCGTATAATAAATATTGCCCACACTTTAGGTGGAGAGGGATTCGTGGACATGAACGAGGAAGATGTTATTGAATTAATTAATACTAACCAACAGTTAGATGAAGAAGAACTTATGCAACTGGCAGAGTTGTCAAAATCAAGTGGTGAAGAAAACTGATTACAAATTTTCTGTGAGGCAGAGCAACACTTTAATTTAGAAAAGTTAAATGAAGGATTAGAATTGGCAAAAAATCTAGTAGAACATTTTACGAATAATGATTTATCAACAAAGCGCTCTGAGAAATTTAGGAGAAAATTAAAAGAATGTTTAGCTCCATATTTTGAAGTAAAAGAATGTTTAGAAAGTAACAATAATAAATTGTTGAAAACATAAGAAGATACCCTTTCAAATTACGAAAATAATAGAGAAGAAACAAGTGAATCTTTAAACTATGAAATTGCACAACCAGCATTTAAAAGAGGATGTCATTGGATCCTAATTATGGATAGCTTCGACAGTGAATAAATGTAAAATAAAAAGTGTAACTACTGCTTTTATTTAATGCAAAATGAGTAACAAATAATTTTTAATTTCAATATTTGTTTGTTTTGAAGAGAAATAAAATATATTTTAACTCTTACATATTAAATATTTATTTTACATCTTTAATAAAAATTATTTTTATTAATGATGTCTTCAAAGTTCAGCGAATTTTTTGCAGAAAAATAAGTTATCGGAAAACACATGCCCACTGTTCGATGAGCCGCTCTACGACGAAAACAAGCTTAAGCAATGGCGTTGTTGAACGGTGCACACTCGGCAAGTAATCTTACAATTTTTGTTTATAGCATAGTTTATATGGATTATTACCAAAAAATTATACAGGTAACTTCCATATAACACAGTATTTCTATAGCACGGATTCACTCTAACACGGTTTGAGAATTGGGACACATCCTAGTATTACACGATGCTTTTATAGCACAGGTTCACTCTAACATGGTTCAGGAATTCAGTAAAACCCTCGTTCAACATGAAATGTAATAAAGGAGGGGTGCATTCTTTTATACTTTCGTTTAACTTTGTGTGAGCATTCTAATTGTTTTCATGGCTACTTTGAATGCTCTTTCAACAAATAATTTATTTTATTGTTAAATTTTACAATTGGGACCCTTCTTTTGCCTCTAAAAGCGTATATTTTAAAATTATAGATTTTTCCATCGGGACGCTATCGATAGTGCGGGCGCTGCCATCTTTCTTTCATCGTTGTACCTAAATGCCTACAAACAGCAGCGCACTCCCGTTTTAGCGGAGACGCAGAGCAACTGCTATTAACGAAAGCACCCAAAAACTGTTACCAGTTGATGATGCTCATGCTGAGATCATCATGTAAGATGAATAATCTACTGGTAAAATATTTACTTAAATAATAAATAAGTATTTTACCCATAAAAAATGAATAATAAATCCGATTTAAAGGAAGATTTAACAGCATGTTTTTTAATTTCTGGAACCTAACCCCCTTTTCACATAAGTTCTTTGTTTTGTATAACACGGATTCACATAACATGGCAATTTTTTGGAATGTAACTCCTGTGTTATACAGGGGTTACCTGTATGTGTTTTGGAAATGTTGAGTCAAATTAGTCTAGAATTGATTAATTTTAAAAAAGAAAACTTTTCAAACAGCCATAGTCCCTAAACTGCACACATGCATGCTGTGATTGACGCATGTATTTAAGTGACTCGTACAACATGGAATTCATATAACACGGAACGTATCTACCGTGTTATAGGAGGGGGGTCTACTGTACCAATCACTAACAATTATTCACTTTAAAAACACTTCTCACACAACTGTGGTTGTCATAAATATCTATGTATTAAATAGAATTTATATCAAATTAGATACAATCGGTCCTTTGTTTCTGCATTTGCACATTTAACCACCCATGGTTTGAATATTTAAAAAAATAATTTCAGAAAGTTTCAAAGTGCAAAAATTTGAATTTGCTTGCATTTTAAATATTCTGTGTTTTATTCTATGTATTTATCATTCCAGTTACTATACAAAAGCAATCTGTAAGTGTTGAAAGAAAGAATGATTTATTGATGTTGATATATGCCATGTACTTATACCTGTGATGATTCCGACACGTACAGACTTTTCTTTCTTTTTGCTATTCCCTAAAGGTCTAAACAATACAGTATAAAGTGTTTAATGTACAAAACATTAATAACCAATTCCCATATAGTATCTTTTAAAATGTAAATGATGTATTATCTAGAGAGAATTTAAAAGATACAAGATTATATGCATAATACTATGATGCAAATACTATGTCATTTTATATGAGGGACTGGAGCATCTAGGCAAGTGGGGGGATTCTGGAATCAGTCCTCTGCAAATACAGAGGGCTGACTGTTTTTATATTTTTTCACTTTTTTCAGTTTTCTCCCTCTATGATTTTTGTTTTGAAGTTCGTTGAAAATAATTTTAAATTAGAATTAAAGATTTGAATTCTTATTTTCCTGATGTGATGTATAAACTCTTTCTATATGGCAGAAGACCAAGCGATGAAGGTAAGCAACCAACTACTTTGGGGACTAGGAATAAAATCTGGACAGGTCGATAAACCACAAGAAATTTTCAGGGGACCTGGGGCCATATTCTGGTCACTTACCTTTCGTCTCTTCTTTCAGAGACAAATGATGTCAAAATGAGAGACGAAATTCATCTCTCAGAGACAATCTAGTCTTTGTTGTTCACATCATGATTCTATTAGGTTGATTATACATGTTTGGGTTATCTGCATGCGCAACACAGTATAGAATTTTAATTAATTAAATTGTAAAATTTTTGAAAATGCAGAGTACAGAATTATAGATCACGTGGTAAGGAAAGCACTTAATTTTGATAAAGATATTTAAAAATGTTACAAAATAAAAAGAAATATCGTAATGTCAAAATATCTTGGATAATATTGTCTCTCAGGTTAATAAAACTATTTGTTAAGTTAGAAAATTGTACATACTTAGGGAGAAATTAGAACTGTAATATTTTACTAATAAATATTAGTAAGATACTTAACAGATAGATAAGGTTAACAGCATATTCAATGGTTCAGAAATTTATGCAGGATCATTAAAAAAAAAGATGGAGGTTAGATTTTGAGTAGCCACTTAAAATCATAAGCATTATCTATCTCAAAGTATTCTTTTCTGAGATAGAGAATGTTTTTAATATGGTTGTATAAGGTGAGTAGCATCCAGTCGTCCATATTAGATATAACGAAACCGAGGCTACAGACAAAAGACGACTATCCGTTCATCTCTCGTACAGGAGAGAATCTTCGAGATAGAAAGTTGTCCAAAATCCTGTTTGGAGGGATGCGATGCTCTCTTGAGATGTAAAAGAATGATTAGCCAATCAGCAACAAGATTGTGACATAGGTATTGTCTCTGAGACGAGAGACAATGACCAGAATATGCCACTGATGTCCATCTGGACTCATTGTGTCCTGTTCCTTCCCACCCAGCTGCTCCATTTTGTTCATAACTGAACCCATAATGGGCTTGTCAAAAGGTCATCTTGGTGTTCTTTGGGCAGGACAGAGAGAGTTAAAAAGAATATTTCTATTTACTCATAAAAATACTTTATAATGAAATAATACTTAAAATTTTTTAATCTTGTATTTCTAAACTCTTCAAAAATTACCTAAAATTTTCTATATCTATAATATAGTGGCCAATTTACTAAAGATACTTTTCTCAGAAGTCACTTTCTTGGGAAATTGCTCGTGTGGAATGCTATGCATTATTCTTTTTTATACTTAGATTAGAGAGAGATCTATACATAAAACTTGAAATAGATGGCGTTGTATTTTGCATTTTCTTCATGAAAACAAATTTGATTCGTTTCAGCATTCAATATTTGACTTTCAATACTATAACATTTTGACTTGAGTAATTTAAAAGTAAAAAATTTAAATTACTTATTCATAAAATTACTAAACATTATACAGTAGAAATATCTGTTCAGTTTGATTTAATATTAAAAATGATTCCTCAAATTTGTCTTATCCATATTTTTAAAACGAAGATTTATTTTCAAATTAAGCTTTCACAGCAAGCTGACAAAAGCAAAAAGTATTTACATTTCATTTATTACATTTATGGGGATTACATGTCATGATTTTCTACAAGAATGTAAAATTCCATGAAAATACGTATTTACCCAAACAACTCCACATATTTTCTACGTGCAAGTTAATTGTAAATATGTTCAAAAAGATTGTAAAACACAAAACCATTTAAACATTTTTCTGTTAATGTACAATTTTTTACAATAATGAGTTACATTTTACATTTGTATTTCTGAAATATTGCATCAAAATTTTATTATTTAGTTAAGAACAAAACACGCAACAGGGTATTCATAAAACAAGCTGTCTTACTGAAATGGTGCTTACTGCCACAGTGAAGTTGTTACAAGCCTTCCATCGCTCAAGGTTAATGTGGAGAACAGCAGCCAAATTTTTTATACAATGAATTTTACAACTGCCATCATATAAAAAGGAATCCATGAATACAGAGACCTGATACGTAATAAATTTCCTAAGTTACAAGAATTATTTGATTAATATAATTGTCAAATGGCATCATTAACATAAATAAAATATCATTTATATGATAATTTTTCTGAATTTTGGATTTTGTTTTTAGTAATTAATAATTATAAGGGACCATCCATTAAATACATTTACAGTTTGAGGAGGAGAGTGTCGCAGGAAGTACAAACATTACTGTACACGATGGGGAGAAGGAATTAACACACTGTCTACATGCAACTTTTTTAGTGGTTTAAAGTGACTCAGAACTGTACAAAATTAACGGGTAGCCCGTAGATATTTATTTAATTTCAAATGAATTATATTAGTTTTATATTTACAGAAGATGAAAAAGAAGAAAAAGTGGACAGTAAATGTGATCTTCAGTTAAGTGATGGTCTTAACAGAAAGAACTTTTACAAGAGTGAAAGCTACAAATCAGATCCCTCGACTTTCTCTGTATTAAGAATTCAGAAACATATCACATGTAAAANATATTTACAGAAGATGAAAAAGAAGAAAAAGTGGACAGTAAATGTGATCTTCAGTTAAGTGATGGTCTTAACAGAAAGAACTTTTACAAGAGTGAAAGCTACAAATCAGATCCCTCGACTTTCTCTGTATTAAGAATTCAGAAACATATCACATGTACAAGGAAATTTTCAAAGGAGCCATTTTTAAGAAAGTATTTATTTATCCCTCATATTGGAGAAAGATACCAATGTAAAATCTGCACAAAACTTTTTTCCTACAAAGTTATTTATTCAAATCATCTTTTTGTACATATTGGAAAGAGGCCTTTTTCATGTGATGTCTGTAAGAAAAACTTTTTCTACAAGTTTCATTTAACAGAACATAAAGAACTTCACAGGAAAGAAATTCTATACTATTGCTGGATATGCAAAGAGAAATTCAACTGTGAGCAGGATTTAATTGTACATCAGAAACATCATATTGAAGAAAGACCATATAAATGCGAATTTTGTGGCAAAGGTTTTAAACTAAAATCAGTTTTAAAAGTGCATGCAGTAGTACATTCTGACCAAAAACCATTTCAATGTGAAATTTGTAAAAAGAATTTTAAGTTGAAATCTAGTTTATTAACTCATGAAAAATACCATTCGAAGCAAAGGCCTTTCGAGTGTCTAATTTGCGGGAAAAGTTTTAAGTTAAAATCAACTCTACGAGTGCACAAAAGATGCCACACCGAAGACAGGCCTTACAGGTGCGAAATTTGTAAGAAGGGCTTTAAAGCAAAAGAAACTTTAGTAATTCACCAAAACACTCATACCGAAGGAAAGCCTTTTCAGTGTGAAATCTGTAAAAATTACTTTCATACCCGGCATACATTATTGAGCCACAAGAGGTATTTTTCAAAAGAAAGGTCACGCCAGTGTACATTCTGCGAGAAGAGATTCACTACGAAAACCTGTTTAGAAAATAGGAGAAATCCTAATTCAAAGGAAAGTCTATTCTTTTGCGAATCGTGCGAAAAAAGCTTTAGGATATTTCAGTAAATTATCATAACACCGAGAGATTTTTTCAGTGTAAATTCTGTAATAAAAGTTACACAAAATAAAAAACAAAATAAGGGCTAGAATTTCCTCTGGATCTTTAGTAAGTTTGAATAAAACTGCATGCCTAAGATAGAAAAGTGTTTGATGTTATGGATAGAAGATTGCTTTTCAAAGAATTTTACTTTGAATAGTAATGTGATAATGCAAAAGGCAACAAAGATTTACCGGCATTTAAAAGAGCTTGAATCCGTTTCTTTTAATGAATCACATCAATATGAATTTAAAGCCAGTAAAGGTTGGTTTAGAAGATTTAGGAATCGATTTTCCTTGTGCAATGTCAAAGATGGGGGACAAAGCGCATCAGCCAACATAGAAGCAACCAAGAGATTCCAAAAGAATTTTCTCAAAATTGTAGAAGACGGAAATTACACTGCAGATCAGGTATATAACGCCAACGAAACCACATTATATTGGAAGAAAATGCCCAGACACACTTACATCTCAAAAAATATAAAATCTAATTCAGGATTTAAGGTTTCCAAGGATAAGATCACTTTACTTTTATGTTCAAACGCATCTGGAGATAACGTTACAAAGCCCATCTTAATTCACCCTTCATTAAATCCACGAGCAATGAAAGGAGTTGACAAATCAGCTCTTCCTGTTTTCTGGAGAGCAAATAGAAATGCATGTGTATCAGGTGTGTTATTTCGCGATTGGTTTTACAATTGCTTTGTGCCGGAAGTGGAAGATTACTCAAAAAGAAAAAATATCAGTTTCAAGGCTTTGTTACTGATTGATAATGCATCAATACCCACAGAAGATATAAATCATCCGGCTGTTAAATTAATATTTTTACCTCCCGACACGACATCAATCCTACGACCACAAGACCAGGGAATAATTAAATTATTTAAATCATTGTATATACGGCACACATTTGAACATATTTTTAAAAATATTGATTGTAATTCAAGCACTACCACAGTAATGGACTTGTGGAAAGATTTTTCAATTTTAAATAGCATTGAAATTATTTCGTTATCTCTGAAGAAACTAAAATGTTCCAATCTGAATGCCTGTTGGGAAAAATTATGGCCTGAAGTTGTTATTAGAGAAGATTGTTTAACTTCCGTAACAACAGAAGTAAATCGTATAATAAATATTGCCCACACTTTAGGTGGAGAGGGATTCGTGGACATGAACGAGGAAGATGTTATTGAATTAATTAATACTAACCAACAGTTAGATGAAGAAGAACTTATGCAACTGGCAGAGTTGTCAAAATCAAGTGGTGAAGAAAACTGATTACAAATTTTCTGTGAGGCAGAGCAACACTTTAATTTAGAAAAGTTAAATGAAGGATTAGAATTGGCAAAAAATCTAGAACATTTTATGAATAATGATCCATCAACAAGGCGCTCTGAGAAATTTAGGAGAAAATTAAAAGAATGTTTAGCTCCATATTTTGAAGTAAAAGAATGTTTAGAAAGTAACAATAATAAATTGTTGAAAACATAAGAAGATACCCTTTCAAATTACAAAAATAATAGAGAAGAAACAAGTGAATCTTTAAACTATGAAATAGCACAACCAGCATTTAAAAGAGGATGTCGTTTGATCTTAATTATGGATAGCTCTGACAGTGAATAAATGTAAAAAAAAAAAAAGTGTAACTACTGCTTATATTTAATGCAAAATGAGTAAGAAAACATTTTTTATTTCAATATTTGTTTGTTTTGAAGAGAAATAAAATATATTTTAACTCTTACATATTAAATATTTATTTTACATCTTTGTTATGTATTTGTATAAGTGTATGTTTATGCATAAGTAAACTGTATGTGAGCCGCTCATTTGTTAAAACGATAAGTTCATAAAAGAAAAGGTAGAAAATGTGTATTGATAAATTTTTATATATTTCTTGTGAAAAAAACAATTATTATTCAACGGCCATAAAAATTATTTTTATTAATGATGTCTCCAAAGTTCAGTGAATTTATCGCAGAAAAATAACTTATCAGAAAACTTTCCCCATTGCTTAAGCTTGTTTTCTTCGGGGAGCATCGATGAAAAGAAGCTTAAGCAATGATTATATTAATTAAATTATCCACAATTGTGAGGCAGATAATAGCAAGGGCTGATACTTACTTCTGATACTGTTACAATGGTGTCTTCTGTTTTTATATTTTATATCTTTAGTCTTAGTTTTTAAGTTGACTATTACCTTGTATAATTTTATTATAGCATTACCTTCAACTAATACTAACTGATGAGGGACTATTTTCTATTGGGAAAATAGTCCGAAATGCATTTTGGGTTTTCGTATTCACACTTATGTAGTAATTTTTTGAGTTTATTAAATTGTTTTTACTTTGATCCTTGAGTGTTTGTGCCCATCATCAGTCTGATAAGCCGTCAGTATTATCTGCCTCACGGTTGTGGATAATTTAATTAATATAATTATATCAAGGGGTAAAAGCAACTTTTGTAATAATTTCGTTAAGCAATGATGTCGTTGAACGGTACACACACTGTAAGTAATTCTACAATTTTTTGTTTATAGCATAGTTTATACGGATTATTCCCAAAAAATTACACGTGTTTTGGAAATGTTGAGTCAAATTAGTTTAGAATCAATTAATTTTATGGAAGAAAACCTTTCAAACAGTAGTATTTCGTAAACTGCAAATGTGCCGGGCTGTGATTGGCTCATGTATTTAAGGACTCGTAGAACATCAATTTTATAAAGAACGGAACATATCTATTGTGTTATAGGGGGGTCGACTGTATATATAGAACCAAACATTATTATGACGTCATATTAATTACAAATTATTTACAATTATAAAAACCTTAACCTTTTATTGTCTGTATAATTAGACGAAGGATGTAGAGAAAGTCCCATTTTTCTTAATTATTGAAAAAAAAAGTTTTTTCTAAAATTTTTCTGAAGGTGTTGAAGCAGTTCCTCAATGGTTCCTTTTCCTCTAGATAAACAACTTCACAGGGGCAGGGGCAATGCCTGTGATTGGTGCTTCTCTGTAGAAGTTCGTGGCATTGCAGGAAAGCTACCATTCTTGAAAGTTCGATACATTTACTTTAAAAACTAATTACAGAAAATAAACATGACAAAACATAAAATTAACATAAATTATAAATGATATAAAAATAGATTTTACTATTTACGTGTAATAATTAAAAAAAATGAAAGCATAAATTTATAAATTTGTACTTATAATAAGGTAATGTGAAAAATTGAATATACATTACACATTCAAATAAAACTATAAATAAGTATTGTACAAAAAGTTAAATATTTATTTCAGTATGGTTTATTTTGAAACATGACACTTTCTTAAAATCATTTTTCTGAGTCACATTATTATTATTATTACAGTAGAGTGTCGTTTATTTAAATCAATTGGGGACTGGGGTTTTTCGGAAAATCGATATTTTGAATAACCGATTATGTACGAAAAAATGTATTAACCTATCCCATGTTGAAATTTTTCTCCGTTGTGTATCGCTTCGCGTTGAATTTTTGTCAATGTTAAGCCTAACATAAACTTTTTAAAATAATAATCGTGACTATTGTATCGTTAAAAATTATTTAAATATATTGAAATATATAAAAACAATAAAAAATTATACTTCAGAAGTTAATTTAGTACAGTGTTTCTCAACGGGGGCGTTATCGCCCCCATGTGGGCATTTTTCCATGTTGAGTGGGGCAATTTGTAACAATTTATATTTTGGGGGGCGAAAAACAATTTTCTGGGCGATATAGTAAAACATTATATTAATAATAATTAGATATTTTATTCGTTATATTGTACAATAATTAAACAAATAACATTATACTAATCACTAGTCTATTCAATGCAGTACGCATTTGGCGTTAGCCTTGTCCCTCGGCATCGGAATTTTGAAGTGAAGGGGGCGATACTATGTTGAAGGAGGGCAACGATTCATTACAGGTTGAGAAACACTGATTTAGTATCAGAAATGTAAAATATTTGAATAGCCCAAGACATAGCCAAAGATTGCAGCGCCACAGCACTGGCGAAAATTTAAATTTGCCGACTGGAATTCGTTTGGATAATTGACATTTCGGATAAACGACGCTCTACTGTATTGTTAGTTTTTATGCATACATTTTGAGATATTTGTTAGTCAAAGATGGGGCCAAACTAGCTTTATTTTGTTTAAGGTTGTTATTGCATTTTTGAAATATGTTCTTAATATAAAGAAAGGAATAATAACTTTTATCTAGTTTATATCTATTGTTTAAGTATTGTTTTTGTCATTTAATTAATTTTAATTTTAGATAATCATTTAGTATAAATTTATTATCTAGATTTTTTAATTCAGTTACTCTATTTTTAATATTTGATGTTCTAATATATATGTTTTTTAATTCCATGATTTCTTTTTATACTTTCTGGGCTACATAAACAATATTCAATTGTTTTATCTACATTGCATGGTTTCTTCTATGTTAAAAAAGTAAATCTATTTAATTCATTAATTATAATTACATCTAAATAATTTTTGTTTTTTCAACTTCTATATCAAACTGTACGTCTTTATTAATGCCATTTATAATATTAAAAATATTTCACTTATCAGTTTATCATCAAAAATTATTAAGCATGTATCAGCATATCTCATAACAAATTTTACAATGTTGTTAATTATTTCGTCAAATCCTGTCATAACTATTTCAACTAATTTTGGCCCTGTCAACACTGTCAACAACAATCCGTATGGTTTGACAACAACCTTAGACCAATTCAATAATGTGAAGGCACATTTCCTCAATTTAAACATCACCCTAGTGAATAGTGAAATTCATATGAGTGTTTATCTTAAACCTACTTACCATTCATTATAAATACCTAAGTGTTCAAATGATCTGCTCAAATATAAAATTGTAGCATAATGCAGGCTCTTCTTGTGCAGGAGCCACAGCTACTTTAGAGGATAAAGATGCTGTAACAATTGTACTGCTTTTGCATTGTTTATCATCTTTTTGTTCAATTTTCACAATACTTTCTTCTAATTGTAATTTAAGGCCCTTATCAAAAGAGCATATACCCACACTGCAGACATAAGGGACACCATTAAAGAGTTGAACAGAATCAAAAGCATTGCAGCTGTGCAAGGGTACAGTCATACCAAGGTTGATTATTTAATTTTATATTAATTAACACATACAACAATCCCAGATCTCGCAGGAAACTAAACACCCTTTGTCTGTAATTGTTCCTGTAACATATAATAAATTATTAGATAACACCTATAGAAAAACCAACAGATTGAGCTCAGAAAAATCACATATAAGCACAACAAAACTATTTACAGCTGCTTACATAATGACAAAGATCCAGTAGATCCCAATATGGCCCTAGGGTATACGAGATACTGGTCAATCTAGGTCTGGAAAACAAAACAAGCGAATACATAGTATACACTTCCACAACTGCCCTAGCTATAATGGCCACCGTATCAGAAAATATATCAAGCTTTTAAAAACAATAGGAGATCAGTAAGCAGGTAAAACTCTTGAAAAAGTATACATATATAACCACAGTGTCAAGAATTTGTTCATAAACCATAATGATGCCGCTTGTTTATCAGCAGCTTCGAAGTACCTTCTGAATGCAGCGAACCGTGATACCAAAGACTAAAACAAATATTTCATTTATGCACTTATTTACTTTATTTTATTTATTACTTTTATTTATATTTATTTATTTCGTTCTGTATACCTTTGTCAGTGTTGTACAGGTTTATTTGAATATGTTTAAATAATTCTCGTTTAGAACAGAATATTTAAATGGTGGTGGTAAAGGGTTAAAGAATTTATTAAAAATGTGTTTGATCCTGAAGATGGCTACAAAGATAGCCGAAAGAATTTGATGAATTAAAATAATTGCTGGAATACGTTTTGTTTTTAAATAATTACAGATTTAATTATTGTCCTCTCTATTTTCCAAACTGCATGTTTGGGGACAACATATCTAATTGATATTTTTAATTTTAATGTGTTGGGAGTAGTTTCTTCTCTCAAGAAACATCTAAGATAGTTCGTGTTATGCTTAAGTATCTCCACTTGTCTTGTAATCGTCACTAACTTGGATTGTATGTCCATGTCTATTCCTTCTTCAAATTTTCCTAAGTAGTATTGGTGCTGTATAATGTTAATGTATTCAAAATCATTTTAATCATAATAGGTTGATTTTTCTTACAAGTTAGATGACACTGCAACTAATTAATATAAGAAAAATTTTTTACAAATAAATAATATAGTTATAATATACAGCAAGCCGTTTATATAATATAGTTAGTAAAAAACACTAACAAATATAGCAAGTTTGAATATTAAAAATGGAATGAACTATTTGAATTCTTGGTTACTTTAAAAACTAATTACAGAAAATAAACATGACAAAACATAAAATTAACATAAATTATAAATGATATAAAAATAGATTTTACTATTTACGTGTAATAATTAAAAAAAATGAAAGCATAAATTTATAAATTTGTACTTATAATAAGGTAATGTGAAAAATTGAATATACATTACACATTCAAATAAAACTATAAATAAGTATTGTACAAAAAGTTAAATATTTATTTCAGTATGGTTTATTTTGAAACATGACACTTTCTTAAAATCATTTTTCTGAGTCACATTATTATTATTATTACAGTAGAGTGTCGTTTATTTAAATCAATTGGGGACTGGAGTTTTTCGGAAAATCGATATTTTNATTTTCTTAAGTGATACATATTAATATAAATCAAACAATGTTTTCTTTGTCGTCACTAAAAGCACTATTAACCGAGAGCGTTTTATTTTTGGCAAGTTATCGTTATCCCCTGAGCATTTTTCTGCATTATTTTCAGATTCATGCTTTACCTTTTGCAAAAAGTGTATGTAATTTTAGATTGCTTGCTTCTAGTTAAAAGATCTTTATAAATTTCCTTATATGGCGCCAAGCACTTATGAAATAAGGGAAAAACATCTGGCAACACCAGAAGCAGAAGCGTTGAGATATAGCAAAATTGAAACAATTTTCGCGAAGGACCATGTGTATGGAGAAGAGAAAAGAAAATTTACACACTGAAGTACTAATAGTTAACGAAAATAATTTTCGTGAACTATTAGTACTTAAGTATGTAAAAGTTTATTACATTTCATGTTGTACGAGGGTTTTACCCATTTCTCAAACCGTGTCAGAGTGGATCCGTGTTATAAAAGTACCGTGTTATACGGGGGATGGTACCAATTCTCAAACCGTGTTAGAGTGAATCCGTGCTATAGAAGTGCCGTGTTATAGGGGGGTTACCTGTATAATTAAAAGTTACCTGCTATGATTTTTTCTTGTAATTTTTCTTAATTAAACGATTTAATGCAAATCATTAAATATACTCTTATTATTTGAATTTTAGTTGAAAAATATTTTTATCATTAAATTATTTTATGTGAATTTATTATACACAGATAGTGATTTACTAACACTTCAAATTTATACAAATAATGTTTATGATGACTTTAAAACATTTCCAGATATTTTTGATTTCGGCAACTATCCGAACACATGTGAATTATTTGAAGTAACAAATAAAAATGAGCTAGGATATTTTAAAAACGCGACATCATCAAAACCAATAATCGAATTTTGTTCATTAAAACCGAAAATGCATTCTTACATTTTTGACAATCGAAATAAAAAACAGTTAAAGGAATAAAAAATTGGTTGTAAAATCTTTCAATCACAAAAATATAAAGAAGTTTTATTCAATACAGAACTGTTACGACGTCAGCAATATGAAATTAAAAGTAAAAATCATGTGGTGACAACATACCTTCAGAAGGAAATATCTCTCTTCCCATTTTATGATAAAAGATTTATTTCGGATAATAGGATAGATGTAATGTCATTTGGTCATTATATCTCTTACTTTTAATTCTTACAGATTCTTTGATATCATCATCCGCTCAATATGGTTACTTATTATTATACAAGAGAAAGCAAAATTCCAAAACTTGTTTAACATGTTAACTGCCACCTATATCATATTTTGCGTAATGACATGCCAAAATGAGAAAATTTGATATTTAATATTTTATTACAATGTAAATAAAACGGTTGTTATATAACAGTCAGCAGAGCAAAGATAAGAAAGATATATGAACGACGGACAGGTCGTACGGCCTTGAATGGGAGACTACTTCCCCTGGCTATTTATTTTATAACCTGCTGTAATTAGACGTGCTCCTCTATTTAAAAGTTTTCACATTTGTGTTAAAAATTTTTACATCTATGTGTTAAAAGTACTTTGGACTGCACATGTTTACTTTGTCTTGTAATCTAAGACATGTGCGGGAGAAAGTACATGTGTGACATAGGGTAATAAACACTCCATGCCAGTCGAATTTTACAGTTGACAGTTATTTACAGTTAAGGTGGCAAGCACAAGTGGTGTGTCGACCTTACGTACTGAGCAGAAAGAAAGCAGCGAATCTGATGAGAATACTCTATTTTATTCCAAAGATCTGAGCAACTATGATTCAATATATTCATCAAGTGAAGATGATGATGAAGTGTGTGAGGTGAGTGACGTTTGGAAAATTATTCCATGTAACAGACGCATCAAGTCTTTCCACACACATTCAGTCCAGGACTGAGAAATGTAAATTTGTCCTTTAGTGATGAACCGATTAAGTTTTACAAACTTTTTATGAATTAAAAAGTAATTGAACATATAACATAGCAAACGAACATTTATGCAGCGCAATCGTTGGCAAGTAAAACTGCATGCAAGTAGCAGGCTAAAATTATGGAAAGAGACAAATACAGGGAAAATGAATAAATTTCTTGGACTTTTACTTGGACTTGGATGGGGTTAGTGAGATACCCGAAATTATCAGATTACTGGAGTAAACAACGCATTTATAAAAATGGTGTTGCACCACAAACCTTGTCACGTAACAGATTCAAATTATTGCTATTGATGTGGCATTTCTCAAACAACGAAGAAGATAATGGAGACCAACTACATAAAATAAATCCTCTGAAAGACATACTTGAAGAACTTTATCAATACTATAATATACCTGGTGAATATTTATGCATAGATGAAACAATGGTCCCATTTAGAGGACGA